CAACATCATAAAGGCAATATATAACAAGCCAACAGCCAGTATCATTCTCAATGGCGAAAAGCTGAAAGCATTCCCATTAAGATCTGGAACAAGACAAGGATGTCCACTCTCACCACTGCTTTTCAATATAATACTGGAAGTCCTAACCAGAGCAATAAGACAAGAGAAAGACATACAAGGAATCCAAAAAGGAAAAGAAGAAGTCAAACTATCACTATTTGCAGATGATATGATAATATACACAGAGAACCCCACAAACTCCACAGAAAAACTAATAAAACTCATCAATCAGTTCAGTAAAGTGGCAGGATACAAAATCAACATGCAAAAATCAGTAGCCTTCCTATACACAAACAATAAATCTGAAGAAGAAGAAATAAAGAAAAATCCCTTTTATTATCAAAACAAAAAAAAATCAAATACTTGGGAATAAATCCAACAAAAGAGGTAAAGGACCTATACAAAGAAAACTATAACACACTGTTTAAAGAAATAGAAGAAGACACAAAGAAATGGAAAGTCATCCCCTGCTCATGGACTGGAAGAATAAACATTATTAAAATGTCCATCCTGCCAAAAGCAATATACAGATTCAATACTATTCCAATAAAAATTTCAATGTCATTCTTCAAAGAAATAGAACAATTGCTGATGAAATTCCTATGGAATGACCAAAAACCCCGAATAGCCAAAGCTCTCCTGAAAAAAAAAGAAGGAAATGGAGGCATCACAGTCCCAGACTTCAAACTATACTACAAAGCCATAATCATCAAAACTGCATGGTATTGGAACAAGAACAGACACACAGACCAATGGAATTGAATAGAAAATCCAGAAATAAACCCACAGATTTATGGTCAACTAATCTTTGACAAAGGAGCAAAGAATATGCATTGGAGCAAAGAAATTTGGTTCAATTAATGGTGCTGGGAAAACTGGGTTGCTACATGCAAAAGAATGAAGCTTGACTACTACCTCACACCATACACAAAAACCAACTCAAAATGGATTGAAGAGCTAGACATAAGACCTGAAACCATAAAACACATAGAAGGAAATATAGGCAAAACACGACGTGATATGCACATCAAAGACATCTTTACAGACACATCACCCAAAGCAGTGATAGTGAAGGCAAAGATCAACAGCTGGGAATACATCAAATTAAAGAGCTTCTGCATAGCAAAAGAGACAATAACCAAAACAAAGAGAAACCCCACCGACTGGGAGAACATTTTTGCACACAACACTAATGATAAAGGACTGATCACAAAAATCTGCAAAGAGCTGATGAGACTCAACAACAACAAAGAAAATAATCCAGTCAAAAAATGGGCAGAAGAGCTAAAAAGAAACTTCTCTGAAGAAGAAATGAAAATGGCCAACAGACATATGAAAAAATGTTCAACATCACTAGTAATCAGGGAAATGCAAATCAAAACTACTATGAGATACCATCTTACACCAGTGAGAATGGCACATATTAAAAAAACTAGCAACAACAAATGTTGGCGAGGTTGTGGAGAAAAAGGAACTCTCTGCACTTTTGTGGGAGTGCAAACTGGTCCAACACTATGGAGAGCTGTGTGGAGATTTCTGGACCTACCAAACATAGAGCTTCCATATGATCCAGCAATTCCACTCCTAGGTATTTACCCAAAGGACACAGAAACATCAATTTCAAAGAGCACCTGCATCCCTATGTTTATAGCAGCAGTGTTTACAATAGCTAAGCTTTGGAAACAACCCAAATGCCCAAAAATAGATGACTGGATCAAGAAGATGTGGTACATATACACCATGGAATATTACTCAGCATTCAAAAAAGATAAACACATGCAATTTGCAGCAACATGGATGATGCTAGAAGGGATCATGCTCAGCAAAATAAGCCAGAAAGGAAAAGAAAAATACCAGATGGTCTCACTCATAGCAGGAATCTGGAACACTTAAATAAGGGACCAGGAAAATGAATAACTATAAGAAAGTAAAAATCAAAATCAACAAACAACTATGAACCACAGACACTCTATGGGGGGTGGAGGGCTGGGAGGGAAGGGATTGGGATCAAAATAAGGGGGTTGCAATTTATGGGGAATATAAAAATAAAATTTATAAAATAAAAAAAGGTTACATTAAAAAAATAAAAATTACTTATTGTATCATTTTGATCTGATATATAAAGACAAAAAAAGCTTAACCCCACTTGAATCATGGCTATGTAGGAAGAAACAGAGCACATATTTTTCATAGACTCATTATTCAATTTTACTTCCTCCCTTGAAGTTTGTTTTGAAAGATTTTTAAATAGAGGGAAAAAAATAAATAAAAGATGATTTGCTAAAAGATTGAGTAGGCAATATGATGTGCAGAGGTAGCTTTTAGTATAACCAAAATTTTACTTAAATTTACTGCTCCCTTAGATTTTGTGTAATTATCTTTCAATTCATTTTGTTGCCTTTCAGTAAGTATAATAGGCCTATATTACTGCTTCAAGTATGGATTGTCTTTTCAAGTTCAGTTATTAGGTGGGTTCTGGTATCTCATTGTGATTTTAATTTGCATTTCCCTGATGATTTACAGTGAAACACTTGTTCAAATATTTTGCACATTTTTTAAATAGGATTATTTGTTTGCTAAATTTTGATTTTTTTAAATTGAGGTAACTTTGATTTACAACACTATATATGATTTAAGATCACACCTCTTCAGATGTATGTATGTTAGCACAACACAACCCCCACCAAGGCAACCATAGTTCTCCACCATAGTCCAGTGGGCCCCTTCCACAACCTGCTCCCCAATCTCCCTCTCTGTTAGCCTCAATTCTGTAGTCAGACTTCAGGGTTTATTACTGGTTTGGTTCTGTTTGTGTTGTTTCTCTATATTCCACATATAATTGACATCATTCAGTATCTATCTTTCTCCTTCTTACTTATTTCACTTAGTATTATGTTCCCCAGTTCTATACATGTTGTTGCAAATGGCAAGAATTTATCATTTTTTTATAACTGAGTAGTATTCTATTGTGTATATATACCACTTCTTCTTAATTCACTCTTCAGCCTTTGGCCACTTAGGTTGTTTCCATAGTTTGGTTATTATAGATAGTGCTGCAGTGAACATATGAGAGAATCTATCTCTTCAAATTAACACTATTGCATTCTTTAGTTTGATCCTAGGAGTGGAATTGGTGGATCCTATGGTAGATCTATTTTTAATTATTTGAAAACACTCCATACTGTTTTCCAAGGGGCTGGAGCAGTCTACATTCCCACCAAAAGTGTACAGGGTTCTTTTTTCTCCATATCCTTGCCAGCACTTGTTTCTGGTCTTTTTGATATGGGCCATTGTCATAAGTTTGAGATGGTTTCTATTGTGGTTTTGATTTGCACTTTCATGACCTGAATTGATGAGCTGATAGTTCTTATATCCTGGTTTTGATCCTTCATTAAATATATGATTTATACATGTTTTATGAAATTCCATGGTTTGTCTTTTCGTTTTAGCCATGTTTTGTGAATAGCAATTCTTTTATTTTGGCGATGTTAATTTATCTTTTTTTTTTCTTTTATGTGTTGTACCTTTGGTATTATGTTACTTGGCTGAATATGTAGATCTGTGACCAATTTTGAATAATTTTATATTATCTGGATCAAGTTCACTTTCTGTTTTACACTCAGATATCCAGTTGTTCCACCACCATTTGTTTATTGTGTTTCCTTTTTTTGAGGTACATGATTTATAGCTGTATATGATTCAGAATAATAGATTCACACCTCTTCAGATGCATATCATCACCCTCATTCCCAACACCAGTGCACCCATATCCCTCTACCATATACCATTCCCTCCTTCATGTCCTCCCCCTCTTACTGTCCATTTTGCATATCCATTAGGTCCATAGATAGTCTTCTGTATACATGATTCTTCTTCTTAATTCTTACTTATTGCTCAGCAGTATGAGGCCATCACCTGGAGATTTTGCAGCAATGAATATCCAAAGATATTGCAGATTAAAACAAATTATACATTTACCACTTTAGCATTCCTTTAAATTTAGGGATAACATTCATAACACATTCTTTACAAAGCAGTCAATGAAGGAAAATAATCATATTTAAGATTTTTGCAACATTTAAGAATTGAGAAACATTCCAGTGGCACTTCCCAAATTAAGAAATGTTGCAGCATGCAATTGCAGAAGTAAATTACTTTTACTTTTACTAAATAATAACAATAAACATTATTATTGCTATTATCAATTTAAGAAGAATGGTAGCTATGCAATTTTATGAGTTTCTGCTTTGTTAAACACATGAAGATAAATGCAGTAGACTCCTAATATCTGAGGAAATATATCTGGAATCTTGCAAAATCCACAAATTCTTGAATATCAATATTGCCTATAATTTCCCTGATAGAATATACTATGTATTTTGATATATTTTAATCATATTTCTATAGTGTATTTTTATTGTTCTCATTAAAATCCACTAATCACTTATAGCCTATGCTTTTAAAACATTTTCTTCACTACAAAGAAAGATTTTTCTTCACTACAAAGAAAGATTTTTCTTCAGGCATAGTTTCCTTCAAGAAATGACTTCATCTGCATCTATGAACTAGTGTGAAGCAGCAAGTCTCTCATATGCTTGGCTCAGTCACAGCAACCTCAAATTAACATGCAAATGTCTGTCACAGTAAAGTTACAAACTACTGTATTTATTTTAGAGGAGATTACAGAGTCAAAAATTGCAAATCAAAATGTTCAATTTTTAAAAGAATGTTCTGTTTTTCATAGAGAATAAAATTTTATGTCATATGAAGAATTTCCTTCCACTGAAACAAAATAACGATTTCACTGAGTTTATTACACAGCACTCAGAAACTGCCCTAGATGCTAGCACCCTTAAAATTAAGCTACTTGCTTAACTCCAGGCCCCTTGTGTTTTGCAGTGTTTGAAAAGAACAAGTTTAAAATTTGCCTTAAGAAATCTTTACTTACTTATTATTCTTCTCAAGGCACCTATAACTTCTTTGTTCCTCAGACTATAAATAAAAGGATTTAGTAGGGGGATTATGATTGTGTAAAATAGAGAATACATTTTATCCTGATTTTCAGCTGGTCCAGACCCAGGACGCACATACATGATGAAGAGAGTACCATAGAACAAAGAGACAGACAGCAGATGGGCACTGCAAGTGGAGAAAGCTTTGCTTCTGCCCTTTTCAGACTTCTTTTTCAAGATGGCATAGAGGACATAAGAATAAGAAATGATGATAGTCACAAAGGTGAAAGACTGGATAAAGACTGAAAATATAAAAATCAGGAGCATGTTAATTGTAGGGTCAGTACAGGAAATCTTAAACAGTTGTAAAACTTCACAATAGAAATAATGTATTACATTGGACTTGCAGAAAGTTAATCTAAATAACAAACCCACATGCATCATGGGATGAAGAAACCCAATGATATATGAAACACCTAATAATTGAATACTGACAATATTAGACATTACTGCTGGATAAAGCAGGGGGTTACATATGGCCACATAGCGGTCATAGGCCATCACTACCAAAAGGAAGCATTCTGTGTTTGCACTGGAGGCAAAAAAATAAAATTGGGTGATGCACTCTGCAAGTGATATTATGTGATTCTTTGATAAAAAATTAACTAGCATTTTTGGAGTCACAGATGATGAAGAACAAGCATCTGCAAAAGCTAAACTTCCAAGGAAGAAGTACATGGGGGTGTGAAGTTGGGGGTCCTTCCAGATGAGAAAAATCAGTCCAAGGTTGCCCACCATGGTGATGAGGTAGATGCCCAAGAACACCAGGAACAGAGGAACCTGCAGTCCAGGACTATCTGTGAGTCCTGTGAGAACAAACTGAGTCACCTGTGTCTTGTTTATGTCCATCATATTCACTTGCGGTGATCACTGCAATGAAAAAGTAAATAATACTCTCACAAAAGACCATGAAAATAATCACATTTTATTTTTAAAAAATCCATCTTCCCTGCTTATGTATCTCTTTTGTTCAGAAGATATGCATTTTGATCCTTGAGCAAGTGTTCTTTATAAACAATAAGAACTTGGGAAACAGTTCCTAAAAATTAGAAAAATATATAAAGAGAATATGTAAAGATTTCATTCCATGAACAAGAGATGTGGGTATATATTTCACTTGGAAAAATTGGCTGCAGTTTAATAATTACTTTCTAACTTAAGAATATTTTAAAATAACATAATTCAGCTATTTAATATGCTAAATATTAGTGATCAAAACTAACAATGTGCATTTTATATAATACAGCATCTCCAAATTAAAAGATTGAAATGTTCACTTACCATTATTATGCAGTATTTTCTTGAAAATTCTAATGTATTTAAAATACAAAAATAAATAATAAAGGAATAATAAAATACAAAAATATAGATCAATTAATATCTTATGCTGATGTTATATTATTATAATTAAATATCATGGTTTCAATAAGCACTGCATGCTGAATGAATACATAAATAACGACTAGGTTTTTTTCTGAACAATAATTACCAGAAGGAAGTAAGAGAAATATTTCAGTTATAATGCGATAAAACCTTAAAGTACATTGAAATAATATTTTTTTCCTTTTTTTTTCTTTATTGTGGTAACATTGGTTTATACCACTGTCCTTGATTTAGGGGAGTAAGTTCACACTCCGTCAGATATCTGTTACAACACCACCACCACTATCAAAGCACTCACAGTCCTTTATGCCTCTGGGCCCTTTATTCCCTTCTACTCTTCTTCCCCCTCTAGCAGCCAAATATATGACCTATGTAAAGAAAATTACCAAATGGTATTATATATTTTCTGGAGAAACAGACAGTTAAAATTGTTCTTAGTAAGGTGAATTAATATTATAAATATGTCATTAGAATTGAAATTAAATTCATTTAGAATCTTAATTAAGATTAGAATGCTCATCATTTGAAAAGTTTTTTAACTTTTTTTTACATCACCGTTCATTTTTAAACAATATTTGCTTCCCCCCTCCCCCTCAGGTGTAGTCCCCCATAGAGTTTCCTTCACCAATGCACCCGGGCACCATCACCTCAGTCTCCTGTGCTCCTCCCTCTCTCCCTCTGATCCCTCTCCCTCCTCCTCCCCTGCAGGATGTCTCTGATTTATAATTGTCTGGTTTTGCTTTGTTGTGTTTTGTACTGTTATTATTTTTTTACACTGATGTCTTATTGGGTTCCCCTATATTCCTGCTATAAGTGAAACCATCCGATATTTTTCTTTTTCCTTCTGGCTTATTTCTCTGAGCATAATTCCTTCTATCAGCAACAACCGTGCATCACCACATGCAAAAAAATGAAACTAGACCACTATCTCTCACCATGCACAAAAATCAATTCAAAATGGATAAAATAACTGGACATAAGACCTGAAACCATAAAATATACTAGAAGACATACATTTCTGTAACCTCTTTAAAGACTTGTCACCCAAAGCAAAGAAAGTCAAGGAAAAGATAAACACCTGGGATTACATCAAACTGAAAAGCTTCTGTACAGCAAAAGAGACATTAACCAAAACAGACACCCCGCTGATTTGGAAAAAACTTTTGCTAATCACTTTTTGATGTAACAGCATAAACTTTAAATTCAAATAAAGCAAAAAGTGTGAACAGAAAGTAAGTCTGTTCTATGGACTTAAAAATAATCATGAAATAAATACAATTTAAATGTTATAAAAAATCTTTGACTAAGATTTAAAAACCCCCAAATTATAAAGATATAATTTTTAGTTGCGTGAAAATGGTGTATGTGTCAAACCTACAATAAAGTGAAGGATGATTTGAATTTTAGAAGAAATATGTATAACTAATACTGAAAGTAAAATGAGTACCAATCACATACAAAGAAATTTTACAAAAATAGAACAATGAAAATGCAACTGAATAAGCAAGTTACTGAAAATTGTATCATCATATTTAATTTAGGAAAAGATGCTTATCTTCCTCAGTATTCAGGATGTGCAAATATAAAAATAAGACTACTGAGACTAGCAAAATTATTGCTTCTGGAAATTTGGAAAGGGTCACTCTCACTTTCTAATCACAATGAAATTATTAAGTCTTTAAGTGCAATTTGACAACATCTTTTAAAAATAAAAATATACTTACTCTTCAACCAAGTGATCCAGACCTACAATTCAATCCATAGTAATAATGTATCAGTTCATATGGAGGGAAGTTCACTGCAGCATTGTTCATGGTGGCAGAAGACTGGAAATATTATGAAAACCAATCAGATGAAGCAGTGGTTTTACAAATCCCGGTTTATTCTTACTAGTCAGTATTATGGCAGTTGTTTAAAAATAAGCTATTGTTCTACTCATTAACTCAAGGAAATTTCCACATGTGTTAGGAAACTAAGTAAAATAAGATGAAAAGATGTTGCATTGGCAACACCACACTGATAGAGAAATGGGAACATACGTAATACAATCACATTAAACAGACTATAAGGTCTTATGATTCTTGCTACATATACATCTATGAACACATATTAGCTTGTAACAATATGAACAAAGATTGTATGAAATGACATCAGGTTGTTGATGTTTATTGTCTTGGTGTAGGTGCAAGGAAAGAATAAAGGAGAGGGAAGAGGGAAAAACCACTCCCCCCGAAAGTTTTTGTGATAAAAATGATACATTATTACTCTGTTTATACAACTGCACATATTTATATGTGTACAATGACATATTGAATGATAGTCATAACTTGTTAATAAGAGGGGAAGAGAACAAAAAGAAACAGGAACAATGTTCTAGTATTGCATTTAGTAGTATTGCATTTTAATGAAAAAAAAATAGGAATTAGCCATGTAAGTGTTTTTATAACAATGTATCTTAAAATCAGATTATTTTAGATTATATAACATATTTTTGAATATTTTCAGTGATACATGATTTCAGCTACTGAGAGTCATCTTTGTTCTCACTTTCTCCTTTTTTATTTCTATTTTTTGAATAGTTGAAAAATATTTTTTACACAAAGTATAAAAAACAAGTACAGTAAATTATCTCTCTAGTTTTCTTTACATCTGACTACTTTCCTTTTTTGTTATATGCTAAATATCTTATAATTTTCATAACTATTACAGATGGAATATTTGATATGATCTTCAAATACTTTGGTTTTGTTCTAAGACATATCAATTTAAGTAACATAGTTGTTCTACCCATAAATGATTCCAAGCTATTTAGAGTGGCATGCAGACACACTTAGAATACCTTGAGGAGAAAACTCACTTGTGATTTGGGATGTACATTCAATTGTTTCTCAAACTAAAATTAGTAACACAATTTTAACACATAAATTGTTGTTGATTAAAATACATTAAAAATTTCCCTATTTATCCATATTGGGTTTACTTAACTTTACAATAGGTCCAAAAGCATTATTTCTCTTATTCATTAACACAACCAGCAAGAACACTGACATATGTCTCTGCTGAAAATTGAACACCCAGAGCAATCATTTAGTGCCCAAAGTGGAGGTTTTGCTCTGAATGAGCCTGCCCAATTTCTTGCACCATGAACTCATAATTGATATTATGACATTTATAATTAAGCAAAGAGCTATTAGATATTTGAAATCTTTTTTCATAAGATTTAAACACACAGATGTCTGTATCCATACGGATAATAGATATGGATAAAACACATATATCCCTATCTATTTGGAATTAAGGAGACTAAGAAAGTTATCCTTGATGATCTTCACCCATCTTCTCATGATTCCATGACTGTATTAAGGATGTTTGAGCAAAGAGTTTAGTTGTCCATACTAAAAATTTTATAGCATGAGATAGCCTCTGATTTTTCCTTCTTGTCTTATTTTTCTATTATTCTAAGTTTACTAAGAAATCTTAATATACTTGTCTTCTAAACAGTAAAACAATTACTACCTATGATAGTGATTTAGAATTTTCAATCCTGAAAAGAAAGAGAAAATATTTTAAGATTACCAGAACTTTCATATCTTAGCTGTATATTTCATCATCAGATAGGCAAATCAAAAAATTATAAATAATTAAATTAGGTCAGTGTCCTCACCAGCAAGTCCTGAGGAGATAGAAAAAGTGGTGTTTTCTTAAAGAAAGATCGGTTGTTTCCCCCCCCAAAAAATATAACAGACTTATTTTTCCCTGTACCATATTCTGCATTAGGGCCAGAGTCATCATCATAAATTGCCAAACTAATAAGGCTAGGTCTGTCTCCATGTCTATGTCTGCATTTCCATTTAAAACCTAAAACAAAAACAGTGGAAGCTGTAGAATAAAGCAGTGATCACTTGTGCAAAGGTTTTCATTGGGAACTTCAAGTGTGTGTGTATATATATACATATATCTATATCTACATATTTGTGATTTTTTTAATTGTATGCATTCCTGAAAATGCTACAAAAAAGAACCTTGGAATTCCCTCAGTGAAAGTTACCAGTGGATTCCCTATAGGATGAAGGCAACGTTGTTCTACTGGGCATTGTGAACTAATCAGTGAGTCCTTCCCCAGACATACCCTGGTGTAATAATTAGAACCACACTTTGTGTTGTTAGCATTCACTGTAAGGCAACTTGACAGCCTGCCCCTGAGCAGTTTTATATACTTTTATTTCTCTTGATATTTTCATATTCCAACCACTTTTTTGAGTCTTCAAAAGTTTTAAGAATCATCAAATTCAACATGCTCAAATCCAAATTTAGGGTCTTTTCTAACCCCTTTGCCAACACTTGTTTTTTTTTTTCTGGTCTTTTTGATATAAACCATTCTCACAGGAGAGAGATGATATCTTTTAGTTTTGATTTGCATTTTCCTGACGCAAAATCATTTTCTGATTTTTTAAATGTGTCTGTTGGCC